AGTATACTTCCGAGCAGGACCGAGCATGCATTGCATTGAGCTCTTTTCCCGAGGCGGTTTACTATTTTTCCTAGCTTAGTTAGTTTGTTAACTAATTAGGTAATTTGTAATAATTAATTAGCTAGGATAGTTAATTTATTATTCGATTTGTATTATTTATTAGGTCCCTCCGAGTGAGGGCGAACCTGTAATAAGTGTGGGTGTGTGTGTGTGCATGTCTTCCAATCCCCACTTCTTCCTTCCCTTTTACTTACCTGCTTTGATGGTTAGTAATAGGTCATGTTTAAATTAGCATACCTTATGCTATGCATGCGTGCATTCATGCATTTGTATTGCATGCATCAGGCTCGGTACATCACGCTAACTGCATTTGTACTTCAATTCCAAATTGAATACGTGCATCAATTGACTGCATTTCACATGCCATGAAATGAGAAATGTCCCCATTTGTTATTTAAAAATGGGGTTTTACAAAAGAAAAAAATGTTACAAGCACAAAGCACTTGACTAATAGTAAACAAGAACTGTGTAATCAAATGTGCTATTCCTCATTCCCTTTAAGTTGTGGACTTATGCTATTTTTCTGTAAGTATAAAATATATACTTTTGAAGAGGAATACCAGTTATCTTTTTATAGATAATAATTTGTTGGAAGTCAAAGGCTCGTGAGGATTATAATTACAAAAATTTCATTAGTACATTATAAATTTCCCTATACAATCTATGTATATTTTAGCATTTTCCTATAAAACACAATATTGGTAAAGACGTATCTATTCGACTATTCCACACCCAAGTTGGTGTAAATAAAGTACATCATTAAGACTTTAAAAAAGTATTTAAATCTAAATAATTATAACACTTCACTTTTAGTTTTGATGGACGCAACGAACTGTTCACGTTGTTGTTGAACTGATCTATCCATCTGAAAGCTCAGATAGATTTAACTGAGATCTTTCTTTTCCTTTCTTCCAAATAGCAAAAATAATACCCACTAGACAAATAAGACAGAAAATACTAGCAACAAAGTTGAGAAGTAATAGGGTTGATAATGCAGAAAATAACAAGAGTTATATGATGATTTTCTCTCCTACAATTCAGTGAATGATTCTCTGTAGGGGTTCTTAGTATGAACCCCTAGGTATGAAGAATTTATTTTGTGAAGTTTATAACAAAGCCTCTGATTTGGTCAAAGGCTGTGATAAGGAAGTGATAACCCTTCATCATATCTCAAATAAATTTCATCATATTTTCACCTTCTGTAAATTCACACGACATACATTATTCAAAAATTAATGGGACAAACAAAAATGAGTTTTATATGTACATTTTTAGTGTGAATTCATTTAAGATATATATATATATATATATTAATCAATCGATTGGACCATATGTAATTACCCTTAAAATGAAAAAAATAAAAGTAACAGAAAATGAGAATAAGGTTTGTTTCATCAACTGTGTGTACAATAATTAAGAAAAAATATTTCGGCAATGAAATTATGGACTTCCATTTCATCACTGTGTGTACAATAATTTCAAGAATTACTCAACAAAAGTTGAAGATAAACAGGGCAAATCCAAAAGAACGAACACAGATCGACATACAAATGCTACCAAGAATGAAAGGAATGAGGAAAATTCGGTAACAAATCCCAAAAATTTCAGAGATAATTTTTAAAGAAAATCGAAAGTAATAATCCATCAGAATTTGTTTATGGACCATCCATCATCATACAAAACAAACAAAGAACATAAACATATACAAAAATTTAGATGAAATTTTTGAATCACCTAGAACAATGCCTTTTAGAGATAAACCCACTAGATTGGGTTGAAAGAGACGCTATTACGGAAAAAAAAAAAAAAATTGTAATCCCTGACGATCGGTGGTGTCAAGGACTCGATGGATGTAGTGTCACCGCCGATGTGCACTTTAGTGGCCTTGGGCTATGGAGAGCTTTACTATTCTTCTTCGTCGTTCAGTGTCTTGTTTTCGCCTTCTTCCTTCAGCGTTTGTTGGTGCCCTAGGTGAGAGAGTGTTGTGTGGTTTGAATTGGTGCTGGTGTGAAACAGATTGGCACTGGAAGGTAGTTTGGTAAATTCCACCGACGTTGAGTTGTTCCCCAGCATGTAAATGTGTTTTGTCTCTTGTGGGTAATTTAGCCTATTTTTGACGGATGTCGCTAAATTAGCCCAAAACCGGATTGCCAAACCAAGGCTAAGAGATGTAAGAAGATTTTTTTGTTGTATAAATAGAAGCTCTCAATAAATTTTTGAATACACTTTCTAAAATTTTAAAATGCTGTAAAATTTTAAGGCAAATTCTAGTAAGTGTTAATATGACGTTATTTAATATTGAAATTTATCTAAAAAGTGCTTTAGAAATGATGAAACGATAAAAATAAAATAAAATTTACTATAAAGTATTTTAAAATTAATGAAAAATTACTCACTTGTGCCCTTCCATGTTTTTGTAATTTTTTTTCTTTTGCCTCCGTGGACACAAGTCTCATTTGACAACCTTTAGTTTTAGTCAAAAAGTCATTATAAGTTGTCACATCACTCTCTCTACTTGTCTGCATATTTTTCGTAAAAAGTCAAAACGTTACTAAAATAGTATGTTCCCAAACGAAGCTTAATTCCCCATTATAATTTATAGCAGAATGGGACAATTTTAAAGACAAATTATAAATTTTAAACTGTGGATCAAAATAACCCGCGATTAACAGACAGATCAATACAAATCAGACGATGTTAAGAGATTAGTTGATATTTTGCATAACCCTGAAACACACGTCAACTAGACTCATTTTAAAATAAAATAAAAATATATTTGAACTAAAGCTACAAAAGCCCTATTTGGTAGGGCATATTTCAGCTTTTAGCTTACTTTAAGCTATTTTGGTGTGTTTGATTCAGCTTAGTAATACAGATTATAACTTTTTTTAAAGTCAAAAATCAGTTTTTTCTTTGAGTGGAAGAGAAGAAGCTTTTCCAATCAGCTTAACTGAGCAGCTACAATTTGAGGGGCAAAATGACTTAAATGCCCCTCACAATTTCAAGTAATTACAAGTGTACCATGTATATAAATCAAAACACTCTAATTTTTTGTCTCTTGCACGAAGTTGTCTGGCGATTTTTGGCAATTTTTGGCGATTTCGAGCGATTTTCGGTGAACTAGAGATCTCTTTCTCTCACGAATATGAACCAAAGATCTCTCTCTTCTCTCTCTTTCTGTGCTACATCCATGGCGCCGTACCTAGGGTTTTTCGTCGTCGATCTCGAGTTCGGAGGGTGGAAATGTTGCCTCAAATCCACATAGATTTCAGATTTGTGTGGTCTCCTTTGATCTCAAATATCAAATCTGTTATATATGTATAAATGTGTGTGTGTGTGCGTGTGTGTGTTTGAAGTGGCGGTGCGTGTGTGTTCGTGATCACGGTAGATCTCTCTTTCTCTCTCCGGCGTTGTTCGCGGCAGATCTCTCTTTCTCTCTTTTCGCGATCGCGATAGTTCTCTGTCTCTCCGGTGTTGTTTGTGGCATATCGCGCTAGATCTCTCTTTCTCTCTCTTCGCGATCACGATCGCCACGTCGCTGCCGTACCTTCGTCGTCATCCCCTATCCCCATCCCCATCCCCATCTCCATCCCTTTCCGGTGAACCAGAGCTGTCGTTCTTGCCAGCTAGGGTTTTCACTTTTATTTTGTTTTGTTTTATTTTTTTTTCTAGAGGTTTTCTGTATTTTTTTAATAAAATAATAATAATAATAATAATAATTAAGCCATTATTATTAATAAATTTAGTATTAATTATTAAAATTGATTGATTACAAAAATTAATAATTTTAGTATTTTTAGTATTAATTTCAGTATTTTTATATTAATTAATACTAATTAATAATTTTAGTATTAATTGATTACAAAAAATTCATTAATTGTCACTAATTAATTTATAATGAAATAATTTTATACTAATTGATTTATAATGAAAAAATGAAAAAAATAATTTATAATGAAAAAATAAAAATAAGCCATTAATTGACACTAATTAATTTATAATGAAATAATTTTATACTAATTGATTTATAATGAAAAAATGAAAAAAATAATTTATAATGAAAAAATAAAAATAAACCATTAATTGACACTAATTAATTTAAAATGAAATAATTTTATCAAATGTATCAATTTTTATATTAATTGATACTAATTAATACTAATTGTAATGACAATTGTTAAATTATTAATTGTAATAAAAAAAATTAATAAAAACAGAATCACAATTTTTTTTTAAAATTAAAATTAAAGAAAAAAAATGAAATACAAAATGAAATAACTTATATTAAATAAAATAAAAAAATGAACATTATAACTTCTATTAAATAACTAATTGAAATTAATATAAAGAAAAATAATATGTAATGACATCACAACATTATTATAAATACATGGATATTAATTGTCATGAATTAATAAATCAAACAAAATTAACAAAAAGAAAGAAGAAAAGAAAAAAAGAAAAAGAAAGAAGAGAAAGGACTATAAGAATAAAAAGAATTACAATTTTTATGTTTAGTAAAAATGACAATTACACAGTAAAAAGTTATTTTACAATTTATTTACCAAATACTACTCTGCTGCTTAAATTCATAATCTCACAGTTACATTAGACAAGTTATCAATTTATGTTCACAGCTATAAATTATAATTTGTTAAATTATAATTTATAATTACTTTCTCACAATTCTATTAAACGGGACCAAAATGTGTTTTCTAATTTTAGAAAGTCCTCTTTAAATGAGTTGCAGCTTACAGGGCGCCTCTTCATTTCTAGTGAGACCCATATTACCAAACGACATCGTGTTTACGAGGCAAATTCCAAATTTTACCGCATGACTTCCTCTCCATTTTCTCACCTCTTTCTTTTCTTTTCTTTTCCTTTCTTTTCTCACTAATATTTTCCGTCGCCAGCTGGAAAGAAAGAAAGCAAGCCAAGTACGAATATACGCCACAATGCTTCCTCGATCTCCGTCCCTATATATATATACATATGATAATCAAAGTTTAATGTATTTTCTCTCTCATCTCTGTTTTCGAAGATCTTTTGCCCCAAGTTTCTTGCATCGCAAGTCGGCGTTTTTTATTGTTTATTATCACACTTTTAACATTAAACAATTGTAACATTTAAATTTCTTTATTCCAAAAAAAATCAGACACCCCAGATTACATTTGAATTTGTTTATTTCAAAAAAAATAAAAATAAAAATAAGACTCTTCAACTCCTGAGATTCAGGGTATGTGCTCTGTTCGACCTGTCTCACCACACAACCTTGAATCTTCTTCATATATATATATATTGAAAATACCCAGTTTCATTTATCCTTTTTAACTTCGAGATATTAGCTATACAGGTAGCATATGTTTGATTGTTTGCTTTCAAATGCTGTATTTTTATTTTTATTTTTATTTTCTCCATTTCCTTTTGTGTTTGTTTTTGAACTAAATGTTGTGATTGTTGAAAATACCCAGTTTGTTTTATGTGTATGTATGTATATAAAAATTTCATGGAGCTTCTTTAATCTGTCAATAGAGATGCTTGGTCTCTGTAATTTCTTCATTTTTACAGAATCTTTATTGCTCATTAATGCTTGATCTGTACAAAATGTGATTCAAATGCATGAATATTGTAACTTTCTTATAGATTAACAGTTCGAGCTCTTCAGTTTTGATGATTTTATTGTGTGTTGTTTAATGATTTTTATTTATATATATTTTTTTCCCGTTTTCTTGTGTGTAGAAGAAAGTTTGAAAATTTATAGCACTCCAATTGTTTGTTCTAAAGCCTAAAAAGAGAGTCATTGATGACTTTGGTTTATCAAAATAACTTGTTTGAATTTTGAAATAATACCCGTATTTGGTCTTGAGTCATAATTTGATTGGCTAATGGTTGATATTTGTTTGTAACAGGGGAATTTAGTGTTGTTCCAGGAAGAAAACCTGAACCTTGTACTGCTCTTTTTTCTTTTTACCAGTGCAGGTAAATCATGTTCATTGAATGATAAATTTTAGTGAAGGAATGCATTTTCAAAATTTTGGCATATTTATGAAGGGCTGCAGGCTAGGGTTGACTCTCTTTTTAGGCAACCCTTCATAAATATGTCAAAATTTTGAAAACTAGCCTGGTATGGGACCCACATAGTGTGTTAGTAAGATTGTAAGTATCTCTAGCATTATTCTTTGTTCAAACTTGTAATTTGTTTGATGTATATCTAAGTAATGGACATGTGTATCTCAAACTATTATGTCTGGGTCTAAAAAACTAAAGAAGTAACATGACCCATTTAGACATGTGTTCGACACGTGTTGGGAAGTATCCGATGAGTGCCGGTGTTTGATACAAACACAACTTCTTAGAAGTGTCCGTGGTCAGAGAAGGAAGAAGCCGCAAAACTTAACCTTCTTGGTTTGCCGCACATGGATTGTGTTTGGCACCATCAATGTGTCCATTGTCACCATATATTTCTATAACACAATCAGCTATCACGACTTCAATTAGATCTGCCAACTTGGAGGAATAACAGCTTCTTTTTTTTTGTGGTTTCTAGACCCTTTTAGAATTTTCCAAAGGTTTTGCTCTTAGTAGCTACCAACAGCTGATGATTAAACTCAAGGTCATTTTGTTTTCTAGTCATTTGGTCTTTGAAACCAACGTTGTCTTGCTTTAACAAACTTTTGTCCGTGTCCTTTGCACTAGAGCTCAAACTTCCAAACCATAGTCTTAGCCGCCCGCAATTTGGGAAGATTGACCGCTGTTTTCTTATATAAAACTGCCTCAACACAGTTCTTATTACAACTTTTCATATTCTTTTAGCTTACGTGCTTCATATACCTATTTCAGTACAAATTCAAAGAATCTGAATTTTCTCCCAAGAAGAGGCTAAAGGGTATCAACTGTTTCTCAAAGATTTGATACTTCTGAGATGGCATTGGCAAGGTTTATGAGGAGTGGTTTGAGGCGGTCAGGGGGTGCCATGGGAAATCATGCGAGTGAGGGGGATATTCTATGCGAAGGAGTTTCAACACGAAAGTGTTCCTTACCTTCTGGTGGAAATTTTAACACAGGCAACAACCTGTTGCACCTTCCAAGCATAGGAAAGGTGGAGCACACAAATTTTTGGAGCAGGGGCATGAGGGCAACTCCACAATACCAGTTTGCTCAGGCAGAGCAGATTGTGGGGGAATCTGATTCAGAGTATGAGAGCCCGAAGTATCCTAGCTTGGAAGCAACAAAACCGGGTGAAAAACCCAGGGTGGTTGTCCTTGGGACCGGGTGGGCAGCGTGTCGGTTTCTTAAAGGGCTTGACACCAAAATATATGATGTTGTTTGCATTTCACCAAGGAATCACATGGTCTTCACTCCTTTGCTTGCTTCAACTTGTGTTGGAACTTTGGAGTTTCGCTCAGTAGCCGAGCCAGTTGGTCAAATACAGCCTGCATTGGCAAAGGACCCGAATTCCTACTTTTACTTGGCTTCTTGCATTGGCGTTGACACAGACAATCATGAAGTGAGTACTTTTCTTTAGCTCTGTTTTCCTGGTCATCTTATCTATTTTTTTTGTGCATTTTGATTCATGCTCAACTAGCATTAGAGTCTGTCATTCTATTGTGGATTAGAATTTATTTGTCAAAGAGGCTTATTTAAAATATAAAAAGAAGAAGAAAAGATTGAGAGAGAGAGAGAGAGTTGCTACATCTTCTTGCATTGTGAATTCATAAACATAATTATATAATGAACTTGTTAATGTGGCTTTAATGAATCAGGTGTATTGTGAGACGGTTGGCAATGTCGGACTTCCTTATGAGCCTTACCGATTCAAAGTTGCATACGACAAGCTTGTCATTGCTGCTGGAGCTGAGCCCTTGACCTTTGGTATAAAGGGAGTGAAGGAACATGCGTTTTTCCTTCGTGAAGTGAATCATGCCCAAGAAATTAGGAAGAAGCTTCTCTTAAACCTCATGCTCTCTGAAAATCCAGGTGATTGATAATATTCCCGTCACAAAGTTCCTACTAAGAAATACATGGATTTCATTTGACATCTGATAATATTCCTTTCCTGAACCCCAGATGGTGTTTTTCTTCTACTGTGTTTGTCGTTAGTCCCTTGTAGAAACAATAGGTAATTTGCTAAATAGAAGCAAATCGGATATAATTATGAAACATATTTACAATGATATAATTATGAAATTGGAATTTCATCCTTAAGCAGGTATAACAGAAGAAGAAAAAGAGCGATTATTGCACTGTGTTGTCATTGGAGGTGGCCCTACTGGGGTAGAGTTTAGTGGCGAATTAAGTGATTTTATCATGAGAGATGTTAGTGATCGGTATGCTCATGTCAAAAATTACATCCGTGTCACCCTCATTGAGGTATTATTATACATTCTTCATCTATTTTTATTTCTAAGCAAGCTACAGCGTGAATTTGAACAAAAACCCTGTTAACAGATGTTTTATTATTTTTCCTTGAGTTAGGCAAATGAAATTTTGTCATCATTCGATGTTGGACTACGCCAATATGCCACAAAACACTTAACCAAGGTAATTTGAATTCCTTTCCTGAACCCCAGATGGTGTTTTTTTCCTCCATACATAGTTTGTGAATTTGTCATTGACACTTGGAACTTTGTATCAGTGTGGTGTTCGACTTGTACGTGGTGTTGTTAAAGAGGTACATCCCCAAAAGATTGTACTTAGTGATGGGAGTGATGTTCCTTATGGCCTTCTGGTCTGGTCTACGGGGGTTGGCTCCTCTCAGTTTGTAAAATCACTAAACTTGCCCAAGTCCCCCGGTGGAAGGTATGCTCTTCTCCAATTCCCCTATGTTTCCCATTTTTGTTTGTTTATTATTTCATTTTTGTCCTGTAATCCTGTGTCGGATGCCATCATTTAAATTTGTTTTTTTTTTGGGTGTTACAGGATTGGAATTGATGAATGGTTGCGGGTTCCTTCTGTTGAAGACGTGTTTGCAGTTGGAGATTGTGCTGGTTTTCTTGAACAGACTGGGAGGCAGGTGCTTCCAGCTCTAGCGCAGGTCAGATCCCATGTGTCCTTTGCAATTTATTATATAACTATGCATAGAACTTCCATGTTCATTTTTAAAACATCATTTTACCCTTACAAGACTAAAAAAATGTTCTTAAGAAATATGAAATAGAATCATGTCCAGGTATCCTTCACACAAGAATTTGATTAGTCTGATGTTTAGACTCATATCTGTTAATGTAAATTGTAAAAGTAAATACTACCACCCACTCCACCTACCACCTCCACTACCACCCACTCCACCTACCACCTCCACTACCACCTTCACCTACTCCCAAATCCTCTCCTATATAAATCTTTGTAATATACACAATATACACATTAATCAATAATAATACATCAGTTATTTTACATGGTATCAGAGCTATAGGTTAAAGATCTTGGTGTTCTTCGCCTTCCGGCGGGCGGCAACCTTGCCTTGACTGCCCGCCGGATCTCAACTAATTCAAACCTCCCTCTTCCTCTCGGCACCTCACTGAAACACACCACCATTACCATCACTCGATACATACACACACCGGCTTTCGCACACGACAAACACGAGGCCCACGGCTCTCTCCCTCAACCTGATCTCTCTCTCTCTCTCTGAGGGGGGCTGGGTTGGTGAAGTTGGTGGACACATGCAACACAACTTCTTCTTCCATACACACAGCGCACGGGCTGGTTACACCAGCAGCTGAATCACGGAGAACCCATAACTGAAGGAGCAAGAAAGCACCGCCACCAACACTTGCCATGCTAGACGGTGGCTCCGCCGAATGAACACTGGTGACACCACGCAGACCACCCATGCACTCGAGCTCCAACGCCGAAACCATGCTACCATTGTTGAAGCTTGAGGCTAACAATCAACACCAACACCACCGGCGGCACAAGACCACCAGCAGCACAAAACATACTGAGTATACAGAGCAAACCAGCCATGGCGCCCCCCTGGTGTCCCAGGTTGCACTCCAGGCATCCCTGTAGGTCAAGGAACTATTCCACTTGGACCTCCCTGGTCCCGTATCTGATGCTTCCCTTCCCTTTCTTGGTCTTGGACTCTCTCTCGCTCTCTCCTATCATACACAGAAGGAGAAGACAGACAGCATTCTTTTTTTGGAGCTACACAACACACCCAACTTTCTTTTTATTATTTTATCACACAAGGGAGACAGCCCCATGTGAACCATTCACACGGTTTCACACATTCACTTCCCCAAACAAAAACAAACAATATATATATATATATATATATATTAAAATAATGCATCATAAACCCAAAACCATGTGCACCCACATTCTTTCACACTTTTGCACCCACGCTCTTTCCCACTTTTCTTTTATTTAAATCTATATATATAATATATTTCCACTACTCCTACTTTTATTTTATTTTATTTTATTTTTTCTATCTTTCTTTTTCAATCCATTTTCCTTATTCTACAACTCGTGAGCATCACCCTATCTTCCACCAAAAAAAAACAAAAAAACAAAAAAACAAAAAAAAAATTTGCACAATACACTCATTTTATTCATCTCAGGGGATCCACCCCGATCACAATTACAAAAAAAAAAAAAAAACAAAAAACAAAAAAACAAACTGTGTTTGGAACGATTTCCAAACGTTGATTCTACCTCCATGTTCCAATATGATGTTTGGATAGAGTTTTGGAACTAATTTTCCACAACTCTGCAGAAAACTCTGTGTGTGAGGTGCTATTTAAATTTTTTTTTTTTAAATTTGGCCTAACCAGTCGTCCCACCGGACGTCCCACCGGATGTCCCACGGGTCGTCTGGCCTGTTGATCGGAACAGTAAATTATTATTATTATTTTTTTTTAGTTTTTGCAATTGACATATTTTAATTTTTATAGTTTAATTGCTGCACCTCATTTGTCCTACTCTGCAGCCGGTGCGACAGGTTTGTGACCGCCGTCATGGACTCCACACATGCCTTCAATGTATACTGATTGGCCTCCACATCCGTTTGCACTGCCATTTTTTGCTCCACCGACTGCATCGGAAAGTTCAACGGAGCAAACCCAGTGGTGTTTGGTTGAGGTTCACGGGACACCGCACCCGTTATCTCTCTTGTTGACTCGTTGAGGTCGGGAAAGAGAGTCAGCAGACCACGGGACGACGAAGCCATCTCTCGCAACAGAGTGTTACAGACTATCTCTCTCAGCACAACGAAGCGTTTTTCAGAAGTTTTTTCTTCGCAAGTTGTTTGTCTTCTGCTTCGGCCTCAGGCTCCGTCTTGGTTAAATAGCCGAGGCAGCCACGCGCATCGCGCGCCTCTTGACGCCAGACAAACGGGCACGCCAGCCAAGGCACTCACGTGCCTCGCCATCATATCTGGCACGCCTTTTGATGCATCGGGCAGTTGTGCATAATTTGAGCAACCTGCTTTGCCGCAAACCCATCGCTTTGCAAATTAACTCAATATTTTAGCTCAAGGTACTTCCTACTAATGTATACAACATACAACTCTAAGAACGCCTTGCAAGAGATACAAGCACTGATTGTAGCACCAATTCTTCTACACCGGTCAGCTTTATCAATCCCTTTGTTTCAACCTCAAATAGGTTTCTATCTTCACACCTATTTGAGTTTGAGGGGGGGTTATACACAGTATCATGTATAAGTCGCTCATGACACACTCCCTAAGTCGCCCCCTTGGTGCACCACCACAACCTCTGCTACAACGGTCCGACATGACCCCATAAACTGTCTTCTACATTGGTCCGACATGACCCCATAAACTGTCTTCTACATCGGTCTGACACGACCACACAGTGTCTGCTACATCGGTCCGACATGACCCCGTAAACTGTCTGCTACAACGGTCCGACACGACCATACCGTGTCTTCTACAACGGTCTGACACAACCATACAGTGTCTCCTATCCCATTTTTAATTTTATTTGTCAGCTTATTTTTCTGTTTTGTTACTCTCTCCAAACTCAAGTTGGCTAGTACCTATCCTCCTTGAGTTTGAGGGGGGTTGTTAATGTAAATTGTAAAAGTAAATACTACCACCTACTCCACCTACCACCTCCACTACCACCCACTCCACCTGCCACCTCCACTACCACCTTCACCTACTCCCAAATCCTCTCCTATATAAATCCTTGTAATATACACAATATACACATCAATCAATAATAATACATCAGTTATTTTACAATATCCATGTAACATAGCTAATAGGATGCCAATCTATCATACCATTTTCATCACTTTGGTGTAATAAAAAAATACAAGGCATGTATTACTAGCCTATATAATAATTAATGGCTTTTGAGAATATTGAAGAACCAATCTTCCCATACATATGACATTGCCAAGTATTATGTTGTGCCATTTTTCACTGCCCAAAATTTTCTAGATTATATCTTCCACAGAAAATCAGAAAGAAAATTACAGATTGGTGTCTGAACTACTTGCACAAATTTTTTTGAGCAGGTTGCAGAAAGGGAAGGAAAATATCTTGTGGAGTTGTTTGACAAAGTTGGGAAGCAGAATGGTGGGAAGGCTTTGTGCGCGAAGGACATCCCTCTGGGAGTGCCTTTCATCTACAAGCATCTCGGAAGCATGGCATCTGTAGGGCGTTACAAGGCACTTGTCGATCTTCGCCAGTCCAAGGTGATTTAACAGTTTTTTTTTTAGCTGCAAAACACCAAAATTTGCACTTAAAAGTACAAATCTGAGTAGGTGCTAATTCCTATCTTGGAAAAACGGGTCCAATTGTGTGATGGTGATTTCATTTCTTGTTTTCATTTTTTAAGAATTGTTTTTGAAAACTGATCTCAGGAAAAACTTTCTGAAAACAACCCACATTTTAGAAAACTATCAATTTTTTTTTAAAAACTGATTTTGCATAGAAAATAGAATGATTTGAAAACAACGGGTATTTTTGAACAATCCATTGTTTTACTTCTAAAAATACGAAAAAAGCGAAAACATAACCATACAAACTTTTACTAGTTTCATTGAAAATTGATTTTGCATAGAAAATAGAATGATTTGAAAACAATGGGAATTTTCAAACAATCCATTGTTTTACTTCTAAAAACACGAAAACATAACCATACAAACTTTTACTAGTTTCATTTGCACAAGTCCAATAGGTGTAGAGTGACCTCTCATGAATCTTTTACTCCAAATTGCTTCATCTTTCTCATTGAACTTTCAATATGCTAGGTGGTTCAATGAACATTCTCATGCTATCCAATTTGTAACCTGTTTTAAACAATCAATATCTTCAGGCACGTTTGATTCATTGATAACGGAGCGGGATTCAATTAAATAATCTCAGAATAAAATAATCTTGCATTTGGTTCAAGTTTTCTGCCTCGAGATGACTAATCCTAAGGGGCCTGCATATGTGGGATTATTTTGTCTGAGGAGGGACAATAACACTTGTTGTGAAATTCCAATAATGCCCTCCTCTAGATAACTTATCGTGGCTAATCCTGTATACAAGGCAAACGTGACCTGATTTTATGCAATTAAATTTTGGTCTAGTTATTTAATTTTTGAATAAAAAAAACCTAAATAAGTCAGAACCTCCCATTAAACTTTGTTTTTTTCTGATCTTCATTTGAACAGGATGCAAAGGGAGTATCTCTTGCAGGGTTCATAAGCTGGCTGATTTGGCGCTCGGCTTACCTGACACGTGTTGTCAGCTGGAGAAACCGGTTCTATGTTGCTGTGAACTGGGCAACCACACTAGTCTTTGGCAGAGACAACTCAAGGATAGGATGATCAGTCAAATTAATATTCTTGATGGACACAAGGAGTGAGCTAAGCTACTACACTATAGGGTTCAAGTCTTGCAGTGTTTTTGATGGACTAGTTATCATTTTTGATTCAACTGATTAAATCATTTTTGAAATAATTTTAAAGTATCAAAATTAATGCTGTCGTGTTTTGGATTAGAGGAGCTAGGTAGGTATAAATCCAAAGGTGGAGCCACATATAATGTATTTGCAGTAAATGTTATGGTAGAACCACTTGAATATGATATTTGAATGAAATGACGATTGGTATTTTGTTGATTGTAAGTTCTTGGATATGTGGTTTGTCAACAAGTCTATAGATGTGGAAGCGATTACATAAAATAATTTTGGTCATACATGTTAGATGGCGAACTCACCATAAAAGATCATGTTTCATTCAAAGGTGAAGGTAGGAAAAGTTTCATACAAAAGTATAATTAGTAAATAATAATAAACATTAGTATTTACATTAAATTATGAATATAATAATAAAAAACCATTAAAAATTACTTTATAAATTTATATCAAGTTTGTATGTATGGTAGATGTCATTCATTATAGATTAATGCTTTGTAGCTCGAAAAACAAAGGCTCGAATGGCCTGAAAACCTTGCCAATCTGTCTCTTATTTTGTACTCACGCACATCAAATTTTCTCTCTTCTCTCTATCTCTGTCCTTCTCAGACTCCAAAAGCATTCATGGACATCATCTATCTCCTTTGATCCCAGGTCCCTCTTGTGACACCCTAAATTTTGGAAATATCGATAATATAATACAACGATACATCGGGGTTTAACTAGCAGATACACAACATTTTTAAGCACAAAATACAAATAGTTACACTAAAAGAAAATATTAATAATAGTTACAGATAAAATTCTTCAAGTCTTTAGATACAGATCAGTTTCTTGATACAAAAGATTATCCGAAATACAAGAAACATAAAATCTAATCTCTAAGGCAGCCACGGTTCCTCAAAGCTTTTAGGGATTCCGTTCTCGGTGTAAAACTTGCCTCTACCTAGCATAAAACGCCATGAGCTTGGAATGCCCAGTAAACACACACACCCCGACCCTTTTCCTATTCCAAATACACATGAAAAATAATGGTATGATTATAACACACAGCAAAAACAATAATTAAGCAAAGCATATAATAAATTTCAGTTCTCATGAATAACAGTTAATTTCAATTCTCATGAATAATAATTTTCATGAATAACAGTCAATTAAGTTAGTTCTAGGTAACTCTCCGTGGGATGCTGTTTCTACCCAACCGCTAACACTAGCCATGGGCAATTCTGACTCCCCTTTGGTTAATACAATCTCAATGCATTGCATACCGCATACCACCAGTGTATCGCTTACCGCACAATTACTAATGATGCCCACGCACCTAGGTTACATACCTGAGTGGTGACATCACGGTCTGCCCCAAGCGAACGGGCTTTCAAGGATACTCTCCCTGTGTGAGACCCTCACTGCCATCCTTATGCCTTTCATTTTCGTTAAGCAGCCAGAATACCTCTTGTGCCATGTTAGGGTTCGAAAACACACTTGCGTAAGATTTCACAAAAATGAAACACATTCCATTATATCATACTCATGAATCCATCATTCATTATCTCATAAAATTTACTGCAATGATCACAACCCATTACCATCCCATTTGATTTTCCCTTTACTAAGTGCATTATGTTCTCAGTTATAGTAAAGCATAGTCAATATAATTACGAATCCAAACTAAACAGCAAGTAATTTATTCATGGTAAAACAATTCACAATTTATCATTGATTACATATCAAGAGTGAAACATTCAAGAAGCATAGAATATAAGAGTTGCAAACCAAATAAGAGCATATTAACACAAATTTTCAGATTTTTAGATTTGAACCAGTTTGAAAATAATTATGAAAAAATACTTTTATTGGCCCTAAGTACCTAGCCTCGTGTGAGTTTGTAGATAAATAAGTCTAGTTTCAAACTCAATTAATGAAAGTAGGATACGTATTTTAGATTTTAAGATAATTCAGAATTATCAAGATCAATCCAAATTCATTGATCGTTACGCAAATCGGTTTTTCTCTCAAGCCCCTCACTCTCTTGAGTTCAAACAAATTTTAGTTGAAATATAACACCAAGATTAAGATTTAAACATAAAATTGGACTCAAAATTATTTTTCTGGAATTTTCTAAAAATAAAGAAAGTTGACTATTTTTCTGGTTCTGTGAGTAACAAACTTAGAAAAATTGTTTAGGTTATAAAAATACATCCTTAGGTCCTACCAAAATAATCACATACTCCAAACATACCAAATATTACTCCATGAAAAATAGATTTTGAGTTTATGGAGTTTTGATGGGAAAATAAATCCAAGAGAGAGAAAAGAATTGCTATTGGAAATTTAAGAAAGAAAGAGAAGCACTCAATTTCTTGATTAATACACATTTATACAAGAGTATAGGCCTAGAATACAACATGTGTATACAAAGAGCATGTATTATGAGGGGAAAAATAAGTGGTAAAAGAACTTGAGAGAAGAAGTGATGTAGGTTTACCTTTGTTGTACAAGACTCAACACAATTCTTCTTTTTCTTCTTCTCTTCTCACTCTCTCTCACTCCTCTAGTGCATAGCTGAAAATGTGTAAAATGATAGGGAGAAGTGTGCATATATATAGAGAAAGGATTGGGAGATTTTTTAGCGACTAAGTTCCATAAGTATAATTTGTCAAAGTTGTCCATCAATGTCATCAAGGCCCTTTCATCCATTACATAGCTAGCTACTTGGGCTCCAAGAAAAAAAAAAAATATATATATATATATATATATGAGATATTTGTATTTATGTACATAAAATAATAGGCACAAGTACATTAATTAATAAAATATTACAATTAAGGTTTGGATGAAATAAAATAGAAGTATATATGGACCAAGTCTAAATTTATGAAACCTTGATATTTATTATTAATATACTAACATTATAAAATAGTTAAAATAATAAATTTGGGTCTTGTTAAATTAAAGCGCAAAGAAATGCGAGAAACCGAGTGAAAACGGCATTATCGGGAATTAAGATTTTAAAGTAATTAATCTATAATTATAGGGTCTAATAATTAGTACCGAGGTTTTAAAGGTAATTATTAATCTACCGAGATCAATTAGGGTTTACTCTAATTAATCCGCGATGCTTCCCAATTCTAGGGTTTAAAACTCAATTAAGCAAAAATTCAAAGGCTTTATTGAATTAAGCTCAAGATTAGAGATTTAATGGTAATTACAAAAATTAGGGTCTCTACACCTCTCATCCCTCTCATCTCTGTTAAACATTCGTTAAACCTCCCTCTCTACTCATATGCTAATGCCACTGCTGAAATCCTCTCATCCCAGATCTCTCTCATTTTTGTTAAACCTCTATCTCATCTCTGTTAAACCTACCTCTATACTTATACACTAACGACGAACGACAGTGAACACCAAATGACAAACGATGAAAAAAAACTCCTCACCTACTGGCTCGATGCCTCTCATACGCTAACGATGTCGAAAGCTCATCATTACGTACTAGAAGAAAATGAATCTGAGGTAAACCCAAATTCGACAAAACTAGGGTTTATGTTTTGGATTCAATTTCTTTACGAATTTGTCAATTGTGATTGTTTGGTTTTGGATTTTGCCATCAATTTGTGTTAGGGTTGCCTTTAATTGTGAGAAAATGTTTTTGGGGCTTATGAATCTATGATTGTTAGGGTTTTGGCATTATGAATATTGTAACTTCTGAACTTTGTGCATTTGAAATATGGAAATCTGTTGATGAAATATGTTCTTTATCAATTATTCTAACTTAGTTGAGTTTGTTCTTTGAAATTTGGGTTTTGCTTTAAATTCAAAAGTTCATAAATCTGTTTTGGGTTTTTCTTTAAATTTATAATTTTTATTTTGCTTTAAATTTGAAATCTGGGTTTTGCTTTAAATTCATAATTGTTATTTTACTTTAAATCTGAAATTTGATTGTTATTTTGCTTTAAATCTGAAAAATGAGTTTTGCTTTAAATTTACAATTATTGATTAAAAGAACATCTTGTTGAATTTACAGGTAGTTTATAATATTCTAACTAAGTGATCTATATTAGTTTACATTCATCGTCACATTATGCATCAGTATGAGGCTTTTGAAATTCTGCTCATCATCACATTATGCATCAGTATGAGGCTTTTGAAACTCTGCTCTATAGGATGGAATGACCCAAAAGCTTCGGATTCAAAAAGAGACATAACCTACTCTTTTTAGGGACTCTATGGAAGCATTTAAATCAAATAATAAGTTTGAAAGAAATCCATGTATATGTTAAAAGGGAAGGAGAATTTGTAGTGTTCATTGCGAAAAATACAACTATGAATTATTTGTCATATTGAAGAAAAGAAGATGATGTCATACTTGGCCAGCCCAAAATTTTCATGTATATAATTTATGTTCATACTTATCTAATTATTTAATTTTTCTTCCAATGTAGTGTTATGCTTTGTCCCTATGGAAGTGAAATTTAGTTAGAAAGCTTAACAATTTAGAGTAAACTAAAATTACCTAATCTTTCTAGTTGGGATCTGTCTCAATGTGGAACATACAATTAATCAGGAAGAAATTAAAATGGCTTTCGTATTTTGTATGCAGATTAAAAAATGGCTTCTTCTTCTACTAACAATAGCAATATAAGATTAAAACCAAGATTGTGTGATTGTGGGAGAACAACTGCCATGTATATTGTACAAACCAATGAGAATGGAAATCAAGGGCGTTTGTTTTTTATTTGCCCATCAAAATATGTAAGTATCTATTATAGAAATTAATCTTTTAGTATTTAGAAATTTATTTGTGTGATTTGATTAACTGATTCTTGTGCATTGTAGAGTAATAAGGAACCACTACAATTACTTCAAGTTCGCAGATAATGATGATGACGACATTACCTCCACAATCTGTTCCAATGCTAGTCCTTGGAAAGCTATAAGAACAAAAGAATTTAACGATCTAAGGACAAGGCTTTGTGAGGTGGACAATGAAATTTATGAGCATGGTAGAAGGCTTAAAAGGATAGAGAAGAATTTCAAGGCAATGATTTATGTCATTGTATTTTGTGTCTTTTTGTACTTTATCATCTAAATGGCTAACTTGTTAGGTTTTGGCCAATTTCATGAATGTAATCAAAAACTTGTTTTGTATTTTGTGTATTTTTCTACTTTATCAGCTAAATGACTGACTTGTTAGGTTTTCTAGAATTTCATGAATGTTATAAAAAAAACTTGTTCTGTATTTTGTGTGTTGTCTATGTGGATGATGTGGATTGTGAGAGGCATGGATCTATATTTCACGTGGATTCTGTCAGTGGATGTTATTCCGATCTATTTTCAATTGTCATTTTTCTACTCCCATAAATGTATTTTAAATTGAATTGGGAGAGGAATGGACCTCTCTTTGTCCAAATGTTCAAAAAGAACAATCATTTCAGAAACAAAATGGTTGGTGAGGCAGGCCCATATACACATAGCAACCAGGACTGCTGAAGACAATTTTGAGTTAGCACATTAACTGGACATGAAATAGCCACCAATTCCAACAAAAAATAAATTCATGAGTTCGTATCTTTATGACCAGCACTAGTGAAGACAATTTCGAAAGACAGGAATCCCCTGTGAAATATTGATCATAATAATTAACAAAAATAAAAATGAAATTGTTGTAAACAAGCAGATTAGAGCTATTTAAGAAGATGACTTTTTTCAAAGTTTGACAAGCAGTTCACATAGGAAGCTTTAATTTAGTTTGTTTGGTTTTTTTAATACCTGTAATGCAAATGCAATATCTGAGTAATACCTTAAATTTAGTTCACATTAAGCACACATTTTTTCTGAGTAATACAAAACCTGCTTCATTTGCACATTGTAATACAAAACTTGCTTGATGTACACAATCAGTATACAACTACAATTCAATTCAACTGAATCACAAATAAACCTAATTCAAAATGTTAAATAAACAACATACATGTTGGAGTCAAACCAACGTTTTCAAATGAAGCCAAACAACAGCCACAAAATGCATCGAAACGAAATAAAACCAAACTACCCGAAGTTAACAAACGAAATGCATCTAAAATTAGTAGTGCGAAACTAAAAAAAAAATAGGGCATTTGGATCCGTATCTATATTCAAGTCAACAAATTTTGAAGCTATTATCGAACTTTGACTGCTTATATTGTTCACCATTCCTGCATGAGTATGAGATGTGCTTCCGATATTGTCCACTATTTGCGTTGGGCTAACCCGTGCCTATAAAAACAAAGTTAATATTACAAATATTGTCCACAAACATATTCACTAATCTAAAATTTAATTGATCCCCAAAATATTTGTAGTCATATGTTGAACACATACCGTTATATACATAGTGTCTTGCATGCCATCCATACAAGGAAAATAGTAAGGTTGACCTTGAGGCACCTTATGATCAAATAGTAACACAATTTGATTAGTAATTTGAAGCATTCAAATAAAAACTGACAAAAAAACGTACCGAAAATATTAAGTCATTTGAACACATACCGGTTCATACATAGTGTCTTGCACGCCTTCCGTAGAAGGAAAATTTAACTTATGAGGTTCACATTGAGGCACCGTACGACCCTATAATAGCGACACACATTGGTGAGCAATTTTAAGTTAAAAAAATTCTAAAATTTACATATCAAACGAAATTAAAAAATTTACCTGTACTTTCGTATCCTTCTTATTCTTTCTCTTCAACTGATTCACTATTTGATTAACTTTGCTAACCTTCCATTTCGTACATGGACGGCCTTTTCGGTGAGCAACCAAAGGACTAAGTACCTTGTGACTGGTGCTTGCTTTTGTAGTACTGTGACCAGGTGAACTTTTCGGGGAAGTATGAGAAGGTGGTACACTAGTAGAAGGAGGTGACACACTACTAGTACATGGCACATTACTCATATAACCCAATTAATCTTTTCTCACTCTATCTTTGATTTCCATCAACCCAAATTGAATCACTTTGTGTTTATCATCATCATTGGTAGCAAGTTCTAGAATTTCATCCAACGTCTTGTGATACTTATCATGCACTTTTGCATTGAGAGCAGCTCCAGAGTTAGTATATGTGGTTGGAATACATGTGTACCCTCTTTCCAAATCTTTTCTCTATCTCGACATAGTGTATTTACTTGGAACCTCATATATGTACCTCTCAAAGAGCACACTAAGTGAATGGGCACACATAATGCCCCTAAACTCAAACCACCGACACATACATTGAATCTCATATTCAATTGAATGATAGTATACATCAAATTTCATTTTATTCATTCTCTCACTAACTAGAATCGCTTCCTTGACACAATAGATACAAATTAATCCCTCCTCTTTGACAAGAGTCGCATGACAGTACACTAGACGCTTCATTTCTGCTTGAACTTCTTTAAATTTTGCATTTGTGTAGGCTGCTCGAAATTGCTTCTCAAAATGATACACCGTTAAGCAATCATACAATTTGTTATGAGATTCGAAGTCTATTTTGGTCTCCTTCTCCATCTTACTTCTCAAGGCGTTGTCATACTACTCAACAAATTGCTTTAAAGTAGTCTTTACATTTACATATGCATCAAAAAATGCATTCATACTCTCACTTTGTTGTGTAGTTAACATGCCAGCCCAAAAAATGTCTTTAACATAGCTAGGAATCCACTTATGTCACTCACCATATAATACCCCCAACCACATGTTATCATTCAGACTGAACGTTGCAATCATCGTTTGCCTTGCTTCATCAAATTCATCTTTTGTGAAAGAATCATAAACTGCATTTTGCAAAGCAAACTTTATGGATTCATATTGCAAATATCCTCTCAATTTCTCCGAAATTTTCTTCATTATATGCCATAAGCACCAACGATGTCGAGCCTATGGGAAAACAATTTCTATGGCATTTTGCATAGCTTTGCATTGGTCAATTATTATAGCTTTTGGGGGAGTATCTGACATGCAACTTAACCATTCTCTGAATAACCAAACAAATGTCTCAGTGTTCTCATTACATAACAACCCACAACCAAACAAAACTGACTGTCCATGGTGATTAACTCTTACAAACGAAGCAAATGGCATATCATATTTGTTTGTCAAATAGGTTATGTCAAATGAGACAACATCCTCAAATGCTTTATAAGCCGCCCTACTCTTTGCATTCACCCAAAACAAGTTTCGCATGCAACCAATTTCATTAAGGTCAATTGTCGAATAGAAGTTCGAATTTTGTTATTGCATTTTATGAAAATAAAGTGCAACTAATTCAACATCTCCTACCACAAGTCTCAATCTTCTAGCATTCTCAATACGATTCCTTGCATCTCGTTCATCAAATGTTAATGCCTCATATCCCCCCACTTCAACAACTATAGAATGAAAATTCCTAGCCACCCCAATCCCTGTTACATCGTTTACTTCTAGTCTTCTCTTCACAGGAGTAAGAATTATCTTATTCATTGCAAAATGTCATGAGTCACTAAGAATCAAATCATAAGTATGCTCAAGCATAACTATGGTTAACTTATATCTTTTATCCTTTTGTAGACTGGCTCTTACCCTTGCTTTACAATCATTTTTTATGACAAAGATGGTTTCAGGGGATTTACTTCTGATCTTTTTGTTCTCTTCTGCGCCCGAGTACATTTAATTCCAAAGTATTTTACTTCCCCATCATCTCCAATATTTTTTGTGTTCTATAAGTTATAGTAAATCCAAGATGTTTCGCATATTTTGCATAAAATGCATACAATTCTTACTTTGACGTAAAATACATCTCCTTATTAGGTTCTTCAACTTCATCATTCTCATTTAATGAAGGATTGTTCTCTTGTTCTTCAACTTCCTTACTCTCATTGAATGAATTATTGTTTGAATCAATATCCATTGTAGCTTTAAACTGAAATAGAATAGAATTTGAGTATAGTTTATTGAGAAAGAGTATACAATATCCACTCTTAGAGCATCTCGACACAATGTATTTATTTCAGAAAAATATATCCACAATCACTATGTCAAATAACAATATTTATGATGAAGACAAAACCCATTTCTCAATAACCCAAACAACTAAACTAGATCCCTGTCATCCATCTCATCTTTGTTAAACATCCCAATGAAAAGAAGAAGAAAAAAAAAATAGAGGAAAATAACACAACACACCAATAAAAAATAAAAAAAAACAGAGGAAAATAGAATAATGGCAAATCCAATTACCACACACCAACAATCAGACAAATTCACAGTATCAACTTGTGACCTATTGCCCTAATGCTATGTATATGTATTTGAGGGTGGCAACTATCTCTAGGTCTCTTATGTAAGCTTTTCTAGTTTTGGGATGAACCACTTAAAGTTTTTCATGTCTTACCAATACAGATTAGGTGTTATGGATTCCAAATACACATTTGTCTACTAAAGGCAGTTGCATTAATCTACTGCTGAAAATCAAAGAATTCACCTATTATATGAAAAAATTTAACAATCAGACATCACCATTCATCCTGATATCAACACATTTTTACCAGCAAACCCCTTTTTCTCATCCCAAAGCATACTCAAGTCTAAATGTGAATTTAAGTTAAGGTACCTCAAAAATGCACTAATCTTTCATTCTCCTCTGAATTCACAACTTAAATGAGTTAATTACATAATTCAAGGGTTGAATTCCTTACCTACAAGTCTCGATTCTTTGAGTTCTTGAGTGATTTTTCCTAATGACTCAGATTATAGCTAAGTTCAAGTCAATTCCTCCCAATTTCTCTAGCAATCACCCTAGTTGAGCTCAAGTCTTCTCTTTTCTCTCCATCTCTCACGTTTTGAGCTATGAGGAGTATGTAATAAGGGTGCAAAATGTATTAAGGAAGTCAAAGTGGCCTTATATAGGCTCCATTAGGAAGACCTCATTAATAGCTAATCAATTGACATTATTTATCTAATTTTAATCGTTCCAAATCGAATTTCAATTAAACCTATCATAATGTTCTAAAAATTCCAAATAACACGTATACCAAGCCAATTTCGTGATCGGATGTCGATAAGGCCTTCAATTCGCAAACTGAAATGAAAACATGAACAAATCTTTTTACGTGAAACAGCTATAAACACAAATAAGGCAATATATGATGCAAAACTTCACTTTAATTACTCATTGGGCATAATTAAGCATGGATTAACATTAATCATGGGTCGGGGTTGTTACAGTCTTCCACCCCTTAAAGAGTTTGGTCCTCCAAACACAAGTTGCCTTCGATTTGGAATAATATCATGTCCAACGGAAATAAATCCGGATATCTCTTCATCATATCTTCTTCCGTTTCCCATGTAGCATAAGTTCCTCCATGATTTTTCCAATCAACTTTCACCAATGGAATTTTCTTGTTCCTCAATCTTTTGATTCTACGGTTCACGATCTGAATTGGCCTATCCTCATAGGTATAGTCGTCTTTTAAAAGCACATGTGTTGGCTCAATAACGTGTAATGGATCTCGTAAGTAATCCCGTAACATTGAGACATGAAAGACGCCATGCATATGTTCCATAATTGGTGGTAAGGCTACCCGATACGTCACAGGGTTAATTTTCTCAAGGATCTCATACGGTCCAACATATCTCTGTGCTAACTTGTCTTTCACTCCAAACCGCGTTTGGCCCGTCATCGGAGCTACTCTAATAAATACATGATCCCTGACTTCATATTCTCTGTCTCTGCTTCAGACATCAGCATAACTCTTTTGGCGGCTTTGTGCAGTTTTCAATCTTTGTTAAATTAATTTCACATTTTCAGTCGTTTCTTGTACCAGTTCTGGTCCCGACAAAGGTCTATCACCTACCTCGGCCCAACATATCGGAGATCAGTATTTTTTACCATACAAAGCTTCGTAAGGAGCCATCCCAATACTTGAATGACAGGTGTTGTTATACACAAATTCGGCCAAAGGAAGGTAAGTCTCTTAATTGCCTTGAAAGTCTAACACACACATTCGTAACATGTCCTCCAATGTATGCATGGTCCATTCAGATTGGCCATCTGTTTGTGGATGATAAGCACTACTTAATCTCAGCTCAGTCCCCAAAGCCTGTTTCAAACTCTGCCAGAATCTTGAAGTAAACTTGGGATCTCTGTCAGATACTATGGACACTGGAACTCCATGCAATCTCACAATCTCATAAACATACAAGTTAGCCAACTTATCTGCATTATACAACGATTTAACAGGTAAGAAATGTGCAGATTTAGTTAAACGATCAACAATTACCCAGATAGAATCCATACTTTAAGGAGAGCAAGGTAATCCCATAATAAAGTCCATAGTAATATGTTCTCACTTCCATTCCGGTATTGGAAGTGGTTGTAGTAACCCAGCGAGTCGTTGATGTTCGGTTTTAACTTGTTGGCATCTAGCCACAAAGTCTGCAATATACTTTTTCATTCCCAGCCACCAAAAATTCTGTTTTAAGTCATGATACATCTTCGTATTTCTCGGATGTATAGCAAATTTTGAATTGTGAGCTTCAGGCATGATGCGTTTCCTCAAGTCAAAACAGTCCGGCACACAAAGGTGATTCTAGAATTTCAACACATCATTGTCAAGCACAAATCCCAGTTTTAGTTTTGAATCAATCTCATCAACAGTTTTCCTCAAAAACTCATCTTCGCGTTGTTTCCTTTTAATCTCCTCAATGATTGCAGGCTGAGCAAAAATGACGGCTAAGATTCTGCCATGTTCATGCATCACAATCTTAATTTCATTCTTTTCTAGGTCACATAACAATTCCTTCCAGCCGGTGAGCAAACATGACAAATTCCCAATGGATTTTCGGCTCAATGCATTTGCTACAATATTTGCCTTCCCTGGGTGATACAGAATTTGTAAATCATAGTCTTTGATCAATTCTAGCCACCTTCTATGTCTCATGTTCAGTTCTTTTTGGGTAAAGAAGTATTTTAAGCTTTTATGATCAGTATACACATCACAAGTTACTCCCTATAGATAATGGAGCCAAATTTTCAAAGCAAACATCACAGCTACCAGTTCAAGATCATGAGTCGGGTAATTCTTTTCATGTGGTCGGAGTTGCCAAGAAGCATAGGCGATGACCTTACCATTTTGCATTAATACACAACCCAAGCCTTTGTAGGATGAATCACTGTAAATCTGAAACCCATCGGTACCATTAGGTAAAGTCAAAATCGGTGCAGTCACTAATCTAGTTTTCAACTCTTGAAAAGTTGATTCACGCTGATTATTCCAATCAAATGGTACGTTTTTCTATGTTAGCTGTGTTAATGGCATAACAAGTTTTGAAAAGTTTTTCACAAATCTGCTATAATAACCTGCAAGTCCCAAAAAGCTTCTCATTTCTGACACGTTAGTTGGTCTTGGCCAATTCACAATGGCTTCAATTTTCTAAGGGTCAACAGAGATACCGTCCTTGCTAATTACATGTCCCAAAAATGCCACACTGTCAAGCCAAATTCATATTTGGATAATTTTGCTTACAACTTCTTTTCTCTCAAAATCTGTAGGGTAGTTCTAAGGTGGTTCTCATGTTCTTCCCTGCTTTTAGAATAAATCAGTATATCATCAATAAAGACAATAATAAATTCATCCAGGAATTGTTTGAACACCCTATTCAATAAATCCAGGAACGCCGTAGGGGCATTAGTTACCCCAAATGGCATTACAAAAAATTCATAGTGCCCATACCTAGTTCTGAATGCAGTTTTCTCTATGTCTTTTGCCTTGACCTTTAACTGGTGGTACCCGGATCTAAGGTCAATCTTAGAAAATACTTGGGTCCCCTGGAGTTAGTCAAATAGGCCATCTATTTGGGGTAGTGGATATTTGTTCTTCACGGTTACTTTATTCAATTCCCGATAATCTATACATAATCTCAAGGACCCATTATTCTTCTTAACAAACAGGACTGGAGCACCCCAATGTGAAGTGCTCGGACGGATGAATTTCTTGTCTAACAATTCTTATAGTTGGGTTTTCAATTCTTTCAGTTCTAAGGTTGACATCCTGTAAAGGGTCTTAGAAATTGGTTGCGTTTCCAGTGTCACTTTAATAGTAAACTCAATTTTCCTATCAACTAAGACTCCAGGCAAGTCATTCGGAAACACATCGGGAAATTCACAAACAATTGGAATAGTTTTCACATTAGTGCCATCAGATGATGCAGTCAATACACAACACAAGTAGCCCCTACATCCCTTCCTAAGTAATTTAACAGCTTTCATAGCCGAAATCAAGTATGGGGGAGGGAATACTCCGTTCCCAGTGAAAACAAACTCAGACATACCAGGTGGACGAAATATAACAGATTTATTTACACAGTCAATAGATGCACAATACTTCTTTAACTAGTTCATACCCAATATGCAATCAAAGTGGTCAATGCTCAAAGGCAGCAAATCAACGTACAACGTCATATCACCAATCAAAACATCACATGTCGGATATACATATGCACATACCATAGAATCCCCAGATAACGTAGATACAGACAATAAATAATTCATGGATTCTAAGGGTCTAGTTAGTTTTCGAGAAAAGGCATGTGACACAAATGAGTATGTAAAACCAAAATCTATCAAGACATATGCGTTCTGGGCACAAATGGAAATTATCCTTAACACCACAGACTCGATGTTTTGCACATCTCCGGGCACTAGTGCGAACACTCTCCCTTACTTCAACGTTTCATTGTCAGTGTTACCCCTGGCATTGGATCTCATCGGGCAATCCCTAACTATGTGGCCAGTCTTGCCACATTGAAAACACGCACCTGATGCATGGTAACATGCACCTTTATGCTTCCTTCCACAGTCTGGGCAGTTTAAAATAGATCCGCTACTTTAAATAGAGCTAGTGGAAGATCTTGTGTTTTGCTTCTTCGAAAATGATTGGCCCTTTTTAAAATGGAATCCGGATCTTTTACTTCTTCATTCTGTCGTTGGAGTTGTAGCTTATTTCTTGGTTGTTATTATGGCTTCTGCCATCAATGCCCTGTCAAGCACTTCCACATAAGTAGGCAATTTCAGGATGCTTACTCGATCGAATATTTCCAAGTCTAGTCCTCCCTCGAACTTTCATGCTTTCTTATAATCTGTGTCCACCATGTGAGGAGAAAATCTGGCCAACTCGATGAACTTAGCCTCGTACTCAGCTACAGACATCTTCCCTTGCTTAAGTTCTTGGAATTTAGAAACTTTTCGGTCCCTGAAGCATTGGGGAAAGTACTTGTTATAGAATATCTCATTGAATTGTGCCCACGTCATGTCCCCGTTATTATTTTGAACCAACAGCCACCATCTCTGGGCTTCATCCTTTAGGGTGTAGGCAGCCAAAAGTACTTTCTGAGTTACAGAGCAAGGGAATTCTTCAAATAACTTTTCCATTTCTGGCAACCAGGTTCCTGTCTTTAATGGTTCAATGCCACCCAAGAAGGTCGACGGTTTTATTTTCATAAATTTCTGAGTCAAATTGATGATGTCATTATTGTCCGGTTCAACTAGCACTGGCGGAGGCGGATGAGGCAAAGGTTGTTGTCTTAGTTGTTGTGTCATGGCTTCAGTCAAAGCTGCAAGCATCTGTTCCATTCTATTTATTCGAGTCTCAGAAGATTCACTTGTATCATTTCCCCTTGCATTCTCAATGTTGTTATAGAGACATCAAGTAATAATAACATAAGAATAATCTTGTTCATTTCTTTCAATTTTCATTTGTCCAGATTCAAATTCAGTTTTCGCATTTATAAAGATTACCATACACTCACCCATGTAGATGGAATACCCCTACTTCTTACTAGGACATTCTAAGCTCATATGGACTCGTGTGTGCGGTAAAACACGTGCTCTGATACCACTCGGTCATGACCCAAACCCGTCCTTATGGGTTTAGCGTCGTAACCAGCCAGTAATCCTTGGATTACCAAAGGCCTTTGAACAGAATATCATATAATTAGGGACTGCGGAAGCAAATATAGAAACATACGTAGTCCATTGAGCTGTGCAGACATATATGGGACATAAATTTCTTTTTTTTATACGTATATACCTGACATTATATTGTTACATTCATTACAGATAGAACCAAAAAAGAACTTAGCCCAATATACAGTTAACAGAAATTTGTTCATAATCCAAAAGAAAACAAAGCCCTTTACATTCACAAACATGACCCTATGGAACCTCCTCGAAGCGCAAAGGCTGGCTGACCAAAAACTCTCCAGGCGGTCATCACTGACCCTGGCCACATGCCCGGTCACCTACATACATAAATACTGGAGTGAACGGAAGTCTAATGAATAATAACAAGGTAAAGAGTTTAATGAATGATATCCATCTCAGAGTTAGAAAATAGAGTTTATATCAGAAACAGATTCTTATGCATATTTAAATCTCAAATCAGAAATAGATTCAGATTCACGTACTTATCCGGAAATCATAACAGTTATAGATGGTACATCCATTAGCTATCATATCAACTTAGTCCTGAGACTCACATGTATAGTCGGTACCGACGACCATAAAGGTCCATATCTTGCGTGCAAGTAGCCATGGTATTGTTACCCCCAGGCGAGGGCCACGTGAATACAAGCCTCGGTATTGTTACTCTCAGGCAAGGGCCACGTGAATATAGGCCACGGT